CTTGCCGAGTCCAAACGTAAACCACAACCGCAAACCATACATTGACTCGCCGAGTTGGATTACCCGAATCGTCGAGTCCATGCAACCCATTGTTCCAAACAGTAGATCTGAGTTCCTAGGGTGTGATATCAATGTAAAGTTCCCACCTTTACATACTTTCATGGCTTCAAAGACTCAAAAGCCAATATCCAAGCTTGAAATGGGGTTTAACTCCTAAGGAAAGGTTCATACATTGCAGGGCTTAGAACTTTATGAACTTAGAACCCAAGAAGGGTTCAGATCTGAAGTTGCAACTTCAGATCAAGCTCATACACCATAATAACAGCATAATCAAGGCAAAAAGCCCTAAGCTTCACCCATATGAGATCAGAAGGAAATAATGCCAAGATCACAAATTGATACCTCAAAATGAAGCTAACTGAGACAGGTTTTGTAGATCCACATGAGTTTCTTGCTGCTAGCTACTTGACCTTCAAGCTTCCTTCACAAATTCCACCTTTTAAAGCTAAAGCACACTCAATAGAAGCTCACACATGAAACAAGGTTTTTTGGACTCTCTAGGGGCTGTATGGGACTAAGGGGGTGCTAATGATCCCTTAAATAGGGTGTAAAATCCTGAAAATTAGGGCTTCATCTACCAGCTCCTACTCATCGAGCCACTCTTCCGACTTGGTGAGTCGGTCACTTGACACGTGGCCCAAACCCGTTGCTACTCGACGAGTCAAGGCATCCAACTCATCGAGTAGACCTTAAAACTTGAAGGTTCAAAGCAATAATATTAATACCTGAAGATCGGGGTGTTACATAAACACTGATTTATAGATACTAGTAACAGACAATGCAATACAATATAACACACAATAATAATAATAATAATAATAAAAAAAGAAGAAGAAAAAACACGGTGGTAAAACACGGACATATCTCCTAGTTGATATTAATCCTATAATACAACCAAAAAAAATAAAGAAGAAAAAACACCGTCCTATAGCAAAACACCAACTTTTCACAATGATAAATGAATGAAAACCTTGCTATTAATACCACTACTAATCATGTTCAAGTGACGAGAACAATGATAACAAGAAAGAAAACGTGGTTAAAAAGTAATTCTTTTAAGCCAATCAAATATGTTTCATCATCTTCTAGGAATTTCATGCAAAAATTCTTATTTTCATAATAATAAATACTTATGAACAATGACGGAGTCAGAATCAAAATAAGAAGGTATCCTAATTTTTTTAGAATAGTCTAAATTTTCTTTATGGAGTACTTGGGTTTCTTCGATCCGGTTTCAATTTTAAATCCAAATATTAATTGAATTCTTAGCTAACCTCAAATATTGTTATATAAACATGAAGTTGAAGTATATATTTTGATATTTGAATCAATGCGGGAGTTAAAGTAGACATCAAATAAATCATTAGGATAACATGTTTATATAATAAGAGAAAATGGCTGACTATACATGTGTTTGACGATGTGAAATAGAATAATTAGGAAAATAAAACAAACGTAAAAAAGAAACGATATGTAAGGAGCGAGAATCAATCAATAGAACCTTTGCTTCAATAATCCAATGTTATAACCAACAAATCAACTGTTTGTTTGTGTTTATAAATGAAGGGATGCATGTATATATACACTATATAAAATGAAATTTTTCTAAAAAAATTTACACTACCGAAAATTTTTCAAGGGACATCCCAGACGTCCCCGTGATCTCCTTGGATCTGCCCCTGATTATGAATACAATAGATGTGTCGTAACAAGTTAATTTAATATGAAAAATAAATCTTACATGTAAAAATGAATACGAATATTAAAACTAATATCCAAATCTTAACAACCATAAAGCATAATATTTTTAATATAATTAATATTTTCATAATTACCATATAAAATATGATTGTTTTTGTGATTTCCTCCTAATTGAAAATAAGGAGGGGGGAGAAACAGAAACCAAACCTTGCTCCGTTGCTTCTTGCCTTCTTTACCTAAAATTTCTTTCTTTTAATTTAGGGGTGAGCAAAAACCGACCAGCAAACCGAAAAAACCGCATAAACCGAAACCAAAAAACCGAAACCGAAATGAAAACCGATGGTGCGGTTTTTAGTTTCGCAAAAACCGAAAATACTCGGTGCGGTGCGGTTTCTAGTCTCGTAAAATCCGCAAAAAACCGAACCGCACCGCATATACATATATATATATATATATATATATATATATATATATATATTAAGTGTTGATATTTGTAAGAACCAAGAACTTATGACAATTAAAATTTTTATAAATATAAATATCTATCTTATCTATCAGATGATGATTCTATATTTTTAAACATACAGTCAGTGATATTTACAATAACAAATAATGTTTATGATATTTTTTAACATTTAAATGTGAAAAGTACTAGTGATGATGATAGTATCATTTTTATGAATATATTAATATTATTGCATGTACATATGAAACAAATATTATATTAAATTCGTATTATGTTCATCAATTAGAAACATGTTGGATGAATGGTTATGTAATTTGATTTCAAACCAAGAGGTGGTGGTATCGGTTCATCTCCAAAAAATGATTAGCACTCCTCATCTGAGTCAAAGTAACTCACCCAGTTACTTGAGTTTTAGTAAAAAGGCAAAATGAAAACAAAAAAAAAACTAACAAAAAACCGCAGAAAAAAAAAAACGAACCGCAAAAAACCGCAATAAAAACCACAAAAACCGAACCGCATAAAAACTGAACGGTGCGGTTTCTAAATTTCAAAAAACCGAAGTTACGGTTTTCGGTTCGGTTTTGACCAAAAACCGCACCGAACCGCACCATGCTCACGCCTATTTTAATTAATTGTTTTTGTCTTATTTAACAATTAGTCCTCACTGAAAGTAAATGTGGCATATATAATAGATTGAAGTATGTTTCTTTTATAAAGTTTCATTCGGATACTAGTATTTACTTTTATTAACCATATTCTTTTATTTAATTATATGTATAGTCAAAACATAACAGCTTCTTTTTAAAAAGCAATATTTTCTATGGAACCCTTTCAACTGAAAAGATATATATATATATATATATATATATATATATATATATATATATATATATATATATATATATATATATATATATATATATATATATATATATTTTGTCACTGTCGCTTCATTTATTTGTCTTTAATACAACTAGATTAATAATTTAAGACTACATAAACATAATATACTTTCTTTACAAGGGAAATTATAAGAAAAAGTATATTTTCTGAAACGTTTCACTTTAGTTCCACTAAAAAAAATTTGAACTGAAAAGTGATGACTATTTGATTTGATTTTAAATGATAATACTTCATTTATTATTAAAAAGATAATTTTTTTTTGTTAATTTGAACCAAAATGAAATAATCAGAATTTTTATATTCAATTTTTTTTATTAAAGTGAAACTTTTCTAAAAATAGAGTAAATTACATGAATAGTCCCTATGGTTTAGCGTAATTTCTATGTTTGGTCCCTAACTTATTCTTTTTTATCTTGAAAGGTCCCTATTGTTTGTTTTTGTTACGCGCTTGGTCACTATCTTACCTAAAAAGACTATTTTGCCTTTGATTTTTTAATTTATTTATATAAACACACCCCAACCACACTCTCATCACTTTACCTTACCTACCATGCCAACTTTTTCTATTTAAAATACTAGTCTTTTTAGGTAAGACATGGATCAAACACGTAACAAAAACAAACAGTAGTGATCAGATACATAACAAAAGCAAATAGTAGGGATCTTTCGAGTTAAAAAAATAAATTAAGGACCAAACATACAAATTACCCCAAACCATAGGGACCATTCGTGTAATTTATTCCTAAAATATTAAAACTTTTCTCACCACTATTCTTTACAACATAGAAGTGTACTTAAATATACAATTTACTGAAAATCATTATTCTGTTATCAGTTAAATATGCATTTTTTTTGGTAAAAAAACCTCATAACAAAATCCAAAAGATAAATAAAATACTTTGATATTCTATAAAAAAATAGTTAAACTTTACATCCATTTACTTTCAACAAATTATTAACATGAAAAGAAAAAAAAACACAAGAAATAATGTTTTTAATTTGCTTTTATAATTTACAGAAAGCATCAGTCATGTGTAGTTTAAATTAAAGTTAGATTTGTTCAAGATAAGAAATAAACACTAAATTTTTTTTAAAATAAAAATAAAATATCCCCAACGTTTTAATCACTTCTATTATTGAAAGATAAAATATTAGAAAATCCGCACCAAGTTATAAAACTGGGGACACACGGATGCAGAAGCTTTCACAGATTACAGTCTTCAAAAACCCAAGTTACTTTCCCTTCATCTCGCTTCTCGAACTTGATTGCGTGTAGATTTTCTGGGATCAGACCCCAACAATTCCACTCATATTTCTCGAATTTGGTGTTAAAAGAAGGCAAGAAATGACCTAACTTTCCTTTTATATTTCACGCCTTTAAACTTTCCCTTTCCCTTTCTACTTTCTTAATTTCTTGGATTCTAGTGACTTTTCTCCACATGAATCTTTAATCTTTGAATCCTGTTGTTATTGTTAATGTCTTCGCTTTCCCTTTTTACTCCATTAGATTCTGGATTTGGAGCTCTTCTTTGAGGTAAAGCAGATAACTTTCTTGAAAATCGAGTCTTTTGTTGTTTGTGGGTTTGTTTATAAATTGGAAATGAAACTTGGGTTGACTCAGTTAGTTCTTGACTTATTTTAGGAACTAGGGTTTGACATCGAAAGATTAATTACGGTTCTTACTGTTTCACCTTTTTCAGGTGTGGTTTCTTGATTTGTTGTTTTCGACTTTTCGTACGTGAGTTTATGATATTTGCTTAAGTTCTTGATTCCCATGAAATATAGTTTAATAACTATGATTCCTATTCCATGAATTCGTTCAAGATTTATCTAATTTCTGCTGTGTCTTGATTTATTTGAGCAGGTTTTAATGGAGTCTCCTCAATCTGTCGTTTCACCATTCAAGAGCTCCTGTGTGTTTTCTGAACCTGAAAAACAGAATCTGGATCTTTTCCCAAAACACTCGACTTACGTAACCAAAAAACCCGAACCCGAACCCTTTATTGGTGTTCTGGATGTTCACATTCATCAAGCTAGAGACATTCAGAACATCTGCATATACCATAAACAAGACGTTTATGCAAAAATCTGCATCACTTGTAATCCCGAAAAATCAGTCACTACTCAGACCATCAATGGAGGAGGAAAAAATCCAGTCTTTAACGAAACCCTTCGGATTAACGTTCCGACGATTGAATCTTCTCTGAAGTGCGAGATATATATGCTAAGCAGGGTGAGAAATTATCTTGAAGATCAGTTGCTAGGTTTTGCATTGATCCCTTTATCCGAAGTCCTCATCAAAAACGGAAAATTGGAAAACGAGTTCACTTTATCTTCCACCGATCTCTTCCACTCGCCTTCCGGTTTCGTTCACTTGTCGTTATCATACACCGGAGCTTCACCGGACGTGATCGCCATCCCGCCGCCACTTCCCGCGAAGGGAGCCGCCGACGACTCAGAATTAACCGAGTTCGACAAAATCGAGTTCCCAGATCCCAAAATCGCAAACGAAAACCACATGATGGTGTCCGAGTATTTCGGTCTTAGCTCAGAGAGTTTGGTCTCATCCGACACTGATGATCAATTTGATGCACCGATTAAAACCCAAAAACCTGATTCACCCCCTTCTAGCGTTTCAACCAACGGTTCCCACTGTGCTTCTACTCACGTTCTAAGCCCCGAATCATCTGATGACTCTTCTAGAGACTCGAAATGTGCAAAACAAGAATACGATTCACATCTAAAGGAAAAACCGGCGGCAGGTGGTGGTGGTGCCGACAGTGATTCAGCAAGCGGCGGGGATCCGATAAAGAAGCCGGTGATGGCGGTGAACTTTGAGCTGGAGCAGAAAGTGGTGCAACAGGATTTCGTGGATTTGTATATGAAGAGTATGCAGCAGTTTACAGAGTCGTTGGCTAAGATGAAGCTTCCATTGGATGTGGAAAAGGAGCGTACGGATTCTGGGAATTCAGGATCGGAGGAGAAGATACAGACACCGAACAGCACACAGTCACGCGTGTTCTATGGGAGTCGAGCTTTCTTCTAAATCTATTTCAACGTGATTCTGATTCACAGGTGATGTTTAGGGTTTTAGAATTTAAAGACAGAATCAATGATCAATACTCTGTTTTAGTTTACTTTACATATGTTGTTTCTCTTCCTAATGTATGTAAGTATGGATCTCTTGTGTTTTAACCTCTCTATGTTTTTTTTTTTTTTTTTTTTTTGAAATTCTGAGTTTAGGTCTTGTTCTACTTATGCTTCGTTTATGAAGTGTGTTTGGATTTTGACAAAAACTGATGCTGTTTCTTATTTCTTTCATTATGGTAAAATTGATTGCAATTTAAGAAGTAACTGCTTACTTATTACTGTGACTCTGTGACAAATTTAAAAATATCCGATTCTTGATAAGTTTAATCATTGACCCAAATGGTGCTTTGTTGTACTCACTATTGATTCTATTATTGATTGTATGATGACAAGAATGTCGGGAATCTTTGAAATAGGAGAATTTTGTTTTTCAAAAGGAAAAATCTTATGTGATATATGAAGTATTGTGAATTAACCTCTACATATCTTTATTATAGTAAAGCTTTTTAATAAATTTATTCATGGTCCCATAAACCTTTTATATATATATATATATATATATATATATATATATATATATATATATATAAACCTTATATATATACCATTAAAAGTATATAAGCTTTGGTATCAAAACACAACAAAATACGTGATTTTATTTGATATATTCATTATAATAGTCTTACACTTCAATCCTAACTTGATTTGTTTTCAAGATATTTACAATTTCACTATTATTATTCTCTTACATCACATCTTTTTGCCGAACACCTGATATGCTATATATATTGTAGTTGAAAATGAAAATTATATGAAGAGAAGATAAATATGTAAATAATAAAAATCTTGGAAGTAAATTAAGATAGAAGTTAAATTATAAGAACATTGGACAATTAGAATGTATTATATGATATAAAACGATGTAGTATGATAAGTTCGGGTATCTAAGTTTATATACGCTTAAGGACTTAAGGGTTATATATATATATATATATATATATATATATATATATATATATATATATATATATATATATATATGTTTATTTAAGATCATGTTAAATTTGTAAAACTGTTATACACAATCTAAAAATAATTTTAAATTACAAAATCAAAAGAAAAATCCTAAACTTTTTTTTAATTATTATTTTCGTCATTTTCTTTAACTTAAAAAAATAAAAAAATTACCGATTTTTTTTTAAAAAAAAAATACGTAAAATAATAGAATATTACAGTGTAAATATTTTAATGTGATTTTTAAAATATTAGAATATTTTATAATTCTAGTAGATTTGTCAGATATATAAAATATTCTAATATTCTACTAGAATTTTCACAGATATTTCAAAGAAAACTGTAATTTTTATTTTATTTTATTATTTTTTGGATAAAAAAGTGACAAATAATATAATTTTTTTTTGAAAAATTTCAATTATTTTGTATTTTAAAAATGTTTTTTTATCTACAAAATGAGTGACTAGGATTGCGTCTTACCGTCTCACAAAATATAGTTGTCTCACATCAAGAAATCTCTAGCCAACAATTCCTGCAAGAGATACTTAACATCAAACGTATTTGTACTAGAGAGAAATCATAACTCCAACAATTTCTTTGTTCTCAACGCTTCCCAATTTCCAGGAATTAGTCACTTCAACAGCCTTCGATGGTTATACGGGTATCCAAAATACAAACAAGATGGATGTTTGTTTAGTAAAGAGAATAATCAAAAACGGAAAGTGTTCAATTGGAACATGAAAGCGTGACTAAATTCGTTCTAGTTACTCTTTGGGCGGAGTGGAAGAAGGGAGGGGATTTATCTTACTTGTCACAAAAATATGTATTTTTTAAATTATCACAAACGGCAGAATATTAACTTCAATAAGTTAAGATATATTCTTCAATATAATAGACCATCTTTTTTTTCTTAAGACTGAAATAAATGATTTCTTGGGCAAATCCAAAGAAGGTTTTCATGTACGTTCATCAGAAAATATTTCTAAACTCAATACACCCAATGCCAGATAGCTGCCAAAAGGCACAACCCATAAAACACAATATGAGCTCCGATCACACCTTCGTAACTCCAAATACCCGAATTGGTTATAGTCCCCCGTGATACTCCAACCACCCCATGAATTGGATATATATATATATATATATATATATATATATATATATATATCCAAAAAGCACTTGTCAGTTTACAAATTGTTCGAATAAACATGGGATTGATATAAAAAATTCTTGGAAAAAGCTTTTCAAAAAAAAAAAATTTAAATAAGCTTTTTTACAGATGTTTTTATTATAATTAGGTCGTCCGATACACGGACCACGAAAAGTCTCATGGTCTAGGAGGCCACGACCGTGGCTCGTGCACACTAGCCTGGACATACATGGTTCGTTATGCGCAAGGTCGATAGTGATGCCCACCACGAAATGCAACACCCCCGTCACTCCCAAACACATGTTGGTCGTATCTCAAATAAATATAGTTGATCAGTCTATATTTATCCTAGATATGATTACATAACTGTCTAGGTTTGACTGTAGTGTCCAACATTTAAATCCATTTGTTTTGTTCTTCTTGTGATACTCGTTCTCTCTCTCTCTCTCTCTCTCTCTCTATATATATATATATATATATATATATATATATATATATATATATATATATATATATATATATATATATATATATATATATACTTTTATGAAAGTATTGTTATATTTTTAAAGTATTTCTCTTGATTAGAGTACTTTTATCCTATTGTGTTTATAGTTGTATATCTTTTATGGGTTGATATACTTAATTCATTATAAACAATGCTCTGATACCATTCTGTGACACCCCCAAACCGGAACAATGGAAACGTTCGGGGGTTGATGACGTCATGTACAGTATCACAACAATTGTATAATAGTAATCAGAGCAAAAACAACCATTGTATTGATAATATATGTAACGCATGTTCCAGGTATTGATTAATTTATATGTTTCTTTTTGGGTTTTGTGTATGGACTCGGTGAGTTGGGATTCTCCAACTCGTAAAGTAGAGACGGATATGAGGACGTGGGATTTGGGACCTACTCCGACTCGATGAGTAGGAGCTGTAAAGAGAAACCCTAACTTTTAGGGTTTGAACCCTATTTAAAGAACATAACCCGCCTCTTGTGGCCTCCCTTACCACCCTATAAGCCAGGGAAAACCCTAGTTCGCCCCTTGCACCTCCTTGAGTGAGAAAAAGAGCTTTTGTGAGTAATTTTGGGTACTTGTGAAGGATTTTAGAGATTGGAAAAGCAGGAGCAAGAAGAGGAGCCAAAGAATCGACATCTACTCTGTATTAGCCATCATCTTGAGGTATAAAAGTTGTCAACTTGATCTCTAGTTGATTAGAACCCTTCTCTTGCAAGTAAATGACCATTTTTTGGGCAAAATGGAAAAACTCGGATCTAGACCTATCACAAGGATATGGTTCCAGATTTGGACCTCTCTAGGTCCCAATGACATAAAGTTGCTCACTTTATATAGTCTAGCCCTTTTCCATGCACAAAAACCTTGTATGAATCCTAGTTTAGATGTTAGGGCCTTGCGGGGCCTTGCAGACACGTAAAGTTTGCAACTTTATGTGGTATCTATAATATGGGAGGTTAGATATGAAGTTTGGGACCATAGATCCCACTAGAAAGGGCTGAACATGGAAAGGACTGAAGGAACTCATCGAGTCCCTTAGTTGACTCGACGAGTCGAGGTGGGGTTTGCCTGTTTTAAAGTTTCTGATTAAGTGCAGTGAAGGATTATGGTTTTGATAGGAATGCAATTTAGGTTTTCTGGACAATTGATGAACTCGACAAGTCACTAAGTTGACTAGGGATTCAGTGGAATGAATTAGGGAGTTTAACACCCCAAATCCTGGATGAGAAATTTAAGAGTTATAATGCACTTTAGAGGACCTACTCGACGAGTAGGTTGGTCCCGACTTGTCGTGTAGGGGTTGAGCTGGCCACGCGAGTTATGAAGCCTACTCGTCGAGTCAAAGCGCTAGACTTGACGAGTTGAGCCTGTATTGAGAAAACCCTAATTCTAGGGTTTTCATCCTATTTAAAGGACCTTAAGTCCTCATTTCCTCATCAGCAACCACCTTACTCCCCTAAGTGAAACCCTAATTGGCCATAGTGAGCTAAGAGAGATATATAGCTAATATTTGGGTGTTTTTGTGATCCATTGGAAGATAAGAAGAGAGAATCAAGCAAGGAACGAGAAAGAACTGCGGGATCCGGTGTTCATACACCTTGAGCTTTTGTTGGACGGTAAAAGTCATCACTGTAACATCCGGATATCCAGGTATGGAAATTTGAGTATTTTATTTTGGGGTGTGAAGAGACTCGGTGAGTTGACGCCCCAACTCGTTGAGTAGGATCGCGATTTGGAGACTGGTTTAATGAAGGGACTCGATGAGTCGGGTATCTGGATTCGCCGAGTCAGTGCTGTTAAGAAAAACCCTAATTTTCCGGGTTTGGGACCTATTTAAAGGTCCTTATGGCCTTCATTTGCGACCATTACACCCTGAGAAACCCTAGAGAGCAGAGAGGAAGCTTGTGGTGCAAGAGGAAGGCTAATTCATCATCTTTTGGTGTGCTTCAGCAAAGGGAAGGATGGATTTCGACTTAGGTTTTCTTGTGGGACTTAAATCTTCCATCTTTTCATTCAAAGCTACTGTGGGAGGTAAGGATTCGTGTCCATCTTCGTTTGTGTGCTAGATTTCATGAATCTAGGGTTTCTTCTCTTCTTTGGGTAAGAGATATAGAGTATGTGATGTCCCCTTGTGTCTATATCTTCAGATCTGGACCTAGGGAGTTCCAGAGAGTCCCTATACCCCAACTGTATGCAAATCCTTTAAGAGTCATGAGCTTTGGTCGCCATTTGGGAGTGAATTCTCCATTTTGAGACTTATGAGC